GCTCGAGTGGAGCTCAATTGTTGGACAAGCTGCACTGTGTTCTATTCTGCTGAGACAAGAAGAACACGCTCCATCAATTAGGCTCAAGTTGAAAGTGTGCATCTGTTATAGAAAAAAGCTGGAGGAAGATTACATCTGACAAAAACACATCTAGAAATGTGTTTGGATGTTGGGTTTTCAAGCCAAACAAAGGGCAGACTCCGATGCGATCATGCTGAGTGCGTAACTAAAATGCTCAGAAGTGAGTGGCATCTTTCGCCAGAGCTTAAATCCCTTGGCTCGATGAGTATAAACACCAAAATTGTGTGTAACACGGTCATACGCATGCTTGCTCATTAAATGCTCGCTCATATGCAAGGACTGCCAAAACAGGAATTGTTTGGTGTTGCATGCAGCGAGCACCACAGACAAACCAGTTGAGCTTCCTCCAGAGCGGATTTGTGGCAATCACCGTTGCGCCGTGCATCACTTTACAGGAGCAGAGACTTCGGAGCAGATGGTTCGCAGACGGTGCGGACTAGGAGGTCCACAGCACTGTGGATTCACCGCAGAACCAGACTGGCTTCAGACAGAACCTGGCATAAATCCCACCAGTCGACCAAATCTTCCTGGGGTCTGGTTGATTTGGTGCGGATCTGGGTTCCTTTTGGTCCCCTGCACCAGACTGTAGGTGTTTGTGTGGCAGTTTAAACGACTGCCTGTCTCTCTGCCATGTCCAACTGCCTTAAATACAGACAAAAAAACCTTGCAGGAGTTTAGATGTCATGCTGTGGAGGATTGATGAGGTGATACAGTGAATCTAGGTGGGTTTATCCTCTTTCACACTTCTGCCACAGAATGCGGCCGAACAGCATGAGTAGAAGAAGTAGTTATCACAGTTACAGTATAAACACAAACTGCACGGAGCAGTTATGACAGACAGTATTAGTGGTGGCTGGATTCAAGCACTCAGATGACTGATGGGATGGAGGGCCTGGCCTCGGTTGAGCCCTACAGCAGAAAGGGTTTCTCTGGTTACACACACGGGAGATCAATACTCCCACAAAGCCCTGTAGCTCTCCCAAGTACAGGTACATAAGCCAATAGCCAAAGATAATCATTATATGCTCCTTTTCTCTCATTCTTCCTCTCTATGTCTCTCTCTGCATTGCCTCTCTCTCTTTCCATGAGGTCACCAGGGTGTCAGTGAGTCTTCATTGGCTCAGAGAAGCAGTCGTGGAAGCATTTCGACTGTGAATTGAACAGCATTGTTCTGGAGAAGCCAGGTCTTAAATGTGTTTCAGTTATCAGTTCCAAAATGTGCAAAGCTGTAACTTTTTACTGTTCCATAACTTCATATTGTAAAACTTCTGTTCTCGTTTGGGTTAACTTTGAGTTCGGCTGCCACCTAGAGTATGAACTCCCCTAAAACATCTACTTCTACCTACAACTCTAGCAAGCAGAGGTAAACAAATGTCACTCCTGTCTGCTACCATTAAGACTTTAGTGCTGTCTGAGAATCTGAAAGCCGATTTGTAGAAACTGTTGGAAATTAGCCCGAGTTGCAATGGTGCGCTTGTGTTGGACTTTACTCCCTCTTAAATCCCAAATGAGGGATTACGTTGAGAGTGGGAGTTTTGAAGGTTTTAACACTTTAAGTTGTTTACACAACATATAATGTCACTGACATGGCAGAAGCATGGTGGGTGGGCAACAGATAACGTGGAGAAATGCACAAAACTGCTAGAACTGATAAGCACAACAAGGAATCAAACTTGTCACACACATCTGTTTGTAAACCAGTGAATCTGATGACAGGGGTTGTTGGGAAATCTCTGCTGGGAATTTCTTAAAGGCATCAATACTGAACAGTCGGGTGGTGCAGAGTTATCACCCTCCTCACCTTTCCTCTTCTCTCCTCCCTTCAGCTCACAAGACAGCGAGAGGGAGGAACCCAGTCTATCAATGCTGATAGCACCGGAGCAGCTATTAATAAAGTCTCTTTATTGTTTCTAGCCTGTTCAGAGCACCACTCCAGGGATCCAGAGGATAGAAGAGCATTTTACCGTCTCAAGGGTACAATGCAAACGCCTAGCGCACGAGCCAGTCAAGCAGCCACAAGACAAGATTTCCCTACTCCTCTAGAGATTGCCTAGTACTGTGTCCATATTGTATGAAAATGCTGTGTTGGATTTGAACAGATATGCAGACATGATAACAAAGTCTTCAAGTCACTTGATGTGATCACTTCTTTTCCCCCTCGAACAGCCAAACATGTTGATAAATTAACATGGCTTCAGATGCTCATATGTATTTTTAAATGTCTGTCTTGTCTTACATGTAGTTTAGTTGGGTGCTGCAATCCTCTCTAGAGAATACTTCCTCAACGTTCAGTGCATCCAGTTATTAAAAACAAACCAAATCTTCCATTTATTTGTACCAAATTTCCAAAGTTTGCTTAAAATTAGCTTGGCACTTGAACGGAACAAGAGCTTTTAACAGAGCACCAACGCATATTTTATCTTTAGGTGCGGTCCGCACAATCTTTCCCCACCATTTTTTGGGACAGAGTTTGTGATCAGGACACTGCTGTTCTGGCAAACACCGGCAGAGAACAGCAAATTAATCCCAGCAGGGCGAATGATATACGGTGTTTACGCTGATCGGCAACTTGCACGGAACACATCAGACACGGTTTACACGACTCGTCATGTTTGCTGTGAAAAACGCCTCGCCTCTTGACATTATCTGGGCTTTACTTTCTCCGCTTGTGTATGTTTTACAGAGGGATTAAATCTTTGCAGACACAGAAGGAGAAAAGAAGAAGATCATCCCTGTCGTCCTTGTGCACTTTGGCTAAGCTGGGAGACAGGGATCTGCCAATGACGTCCAGTGTAATTTAAATACGTAGATATGTAGAAATGCAAGCCAGGGTGATCAGATAAGCATCGCCATAAATAGTGTATAGATACATGCTGCTTCCTCTTATTTCCTGTCTCCATTTAATCCACAGCATCTTTACAGTCTGTGGTTATATAATCCTGTGCTTATCCTAAACATTGGTGTCTGGTGTCCAGTGAGAAGAGCTGATAAAAATGTTCATTTTTAGACTGTCTTAAGTTCCAAGTGATCGTTATAAACAGTTTGTACGTTTAGATTTTCTTTTGAATTCATGCATTGAGGTTATAGTTTTAAATTTAAGACTGCTTATAGTGCGCTGCAACACCTGTTATTTCTAAGTACTAATCTGAGCCCTAAAGCTTGCAAAGTCCTTGACATTTGTGAGGAACTATATCATGAACTATATTGCAATCTTTCTTCATCTTCTTCCACAGGCATTGACCGCTTTCCTGATCACCTGCATTTCAGAGGGTGGCCTCTCCTCCCTTTTGGATTACGCTTTATTATCACTCACGGGAAGTGATTATTTTACAATGTCAGTCGGTCGAGCTCCCATGCGACAGCGCTGGATCTGTGGAGTGTTTCTCCTCCTGTTCGACTTCAGCGGCTTACATTTTTACATTGTTATTTATTTGAACTGTAGAGTGTTGCATTTCACTGGCTTTTGCCAAGTGGGAATTTTTCACTAGCGGTGGGGAATTAACAACACATGCCTAAGTCTGAAATTTGCCTTTATTAAACTGGCCACCGCAGCACTTCACGAGCCCAGAGAGTCCTAAGATGCACACACAGTGACATTTTTACACACAATTTGTAACCGCCAGAGATGTAACTCAGTCGCTGGATAGGGAACTGTACTGAGAGGTTTACAATGACCACATCACCAGGGAACAGTAGCTTTAAGTAAGACGGACATGGGGAGTCTGGTGTCGGTTTCTAAAGGACTGAAGAAAAATGCTTCTGCTATGCACTCGGTTTGTACTTAACAACAACTTACCATCGGTGACTTCATGCTTGAGATAACTGACGACAGTAACCATGTGCAACAATGCCAAATTTTAATTAAAGAAGGTCATAAAGTTTCTTGGAAAAGGTCAAACAGGCATCGCAAAGTCATGAAGAGGTGCACGGGGGTTGGGGAGAATTTCCCTGACAAACAGGACAGCGCTTTAGGAACTAAATTTGCCATGGAATCACAGTTTCCAGCCCAGACAGCAGCGACTGCTTCGGTAGTGCAGAAATATGAGAAACTATCAGGGTTTATTTCAAGTTTATTTACTCTTTCACCACTTCACTAAATGACCCTCCCAGTCATCACTCCAGGCCAAAAATGGAGAAAAATCCTCGAGGTTAAAATACTTTCCTTTTTCTGTTAAACAATGTTTTTCTTTTTTTGACAGACTGAATGATATCTGCCACTGTAATTGCTTCCTTATTTGGTGAATTAAATATTTACACTTGCCCTATCCTAATCCAAAGTTTATGAGAGACGTAAAAGTACATTAAGGGAAAAGACATTTATTTTAAAAGCACTGCTAACTGAGGCCATCACCCCAAATGGTGTGTTTGGACCGTCTGAGAGAAACGGTTTACTCTTTGAAAAAAAAATATTTCCTTTAGCTGTATTCGCACACAGAGAAATTCCAGATTTGACTTCTCATTTAATGGCCTGACATACATGCTGTGTGCACCGCAAATATCTCTCAAGTTGACGGGAGGAAACAGAGACGGCCATTGAGGAAACCTGCAGTTTGTACTTTGAAGAATTCCACTGAGGAGACGAAAGGAGATGGGAGAGAGGGGTAGGGAAGTAGACCTCAGAAAAAAGAGCTGGCTAGAACAAGGCTGCCATGGAAAAATACTGATATTTCATGCAAGGAAACGCCACTGTGCACCTCAAAAACACAGACAGTGAAAAAACAAGGCTGAGTGCGAGAGTTACATGAGACAGGTGGAACTCTGAGAGGGGGGGAAGGAGTTCTCCTTTGGGATAAGTGGGTTGTTTTCTTTAATATTCACCCGAGTAGGGTATTCTTTAAAGCGATGGTGGATGGAGTTGGGACTGACTGACAGAAGGTCTTTCTCACAAGCCTCGACATATGACTCGATAACATCCTTACCTCTCCTGCAGTGCCTCATGGCCATTTTGCACATCCTGGACTCAGCGATGGTGGGACAGGGTATTGTGTCCTTCGGTGGTTTCTTTACAATGTGCCGCGTCCGGGTCTCCAGACCCCACTTATAGCCGCAGGTTTTGTTTCTCCTGGTGCAGGCTCCCCATTCGCTCCACTGACCCACCTCACAGCCCTCTGTAGAGAGACACAGAAACAGTGATGTGCAGTGAAACCACAGAGGAGTGCCATTTAGAGGCAAGTCAAAGACCCCAGGTCAAGCTTTAATGCAGGTTGAAGGAGCTTTACTGGGATGCTATATACTTCTTTGTGTGTGGTCTTAGTTGAACTGCTTGTTTTTGAGTCTAAAATAAGCAGTCCAACTGAGAGGCTATAGAATGCTATTAACAGGTAGAGAAAGGTGTAAAAAAAACAAACCCAAAAAAACCAAACACTTTTTAAAAAAAAACAACTTTTTGTACATATTTGTTTTGTTTCACATACCTCCACACTCCATGGTGTCTTCCAGTGGGGCAAAGCCCTCGGGGCACTTATCAAAGCAGCGCCCTTTGTGTAGGTAAAAACCCGACTTGCATTTGGTGCAGAAGTCTTTACTGAAGCACGACTCGCAGTTCTCTATCCTGCACCCTAGAGGAAGAAGCAGAGAAAAAGGGGAGTCATTAGGGTCTGAACAACCCTCTCATCTGGAGTTGATTGAGAGCTAAGGAGTTTGGGGAAGGGGGTTCTCGAAGGGATTATACTGTGTCTCTTACAAAAAAAAAGCTGACAATGCCCTGTGAATCCTTCCTGTCCAGGGCTCAAGTGCATTTCAGAAAGCTTGTTTAGTCTGACATCAATTTCTTGTTCATTCTCGTGTTCTTGGGAGCACATCAACAGTGTGAAACCCCAAAAGCCGAAATTTTGAGGATTTATGTCACGCTCATCTCTTTCAACAGATTCGACATCCAACAATCTAGATACAAACACACAAGCTCACATGTTTTCAACTAATGGTGTGCTGCAGCAGGAAGAACACATCCCATTAGATCTCTGAACAGTGCACTTAATATGCTATCTTATCGCGCCGTGCTGCTCCGATCTGTGTCTGTTTCCACCACTGGAGATTATCGGGAGGTCAGGTTTTCATTAAAGTGTGAATGATGGCTCGTGATCACTGAACTGGCCAGCTGTGTGGATCGTTTAGGTTTTGGCTACGACATCAAGGAGGAAGGTGGGTTTGTGAAGGGGATAGGAAGACGATCGTATTTTGCTCCGCCTCTTCAAATAAACGCTGATGCATTTAGTCAGCAAACACAACAGCGCACTTATCCTCCCACGCCACACCCTGCTGCTCCGCATGACACACAGTGCCGCACTTGCAAAGAAAGGCACGGCAATGTGTCATCAAGCTCTCTGCAAATAGCACGTCAGGCAAGGCCAAATTACAACAACCACACCAACAGGGCGACGCACAGGCCCACATGATTAGAAGGAGCCTCCCAGAGCTGTCTAATTTATGTCACTCCTCAGAAACTCTATGTGGCCCCGTTGCCCAATAAGCCCCAAGTGTGAGGGAACCACAATCCATAACCTGCAGCCACCGTCTCCCTCCGCTTGCAGAGGGCTTTCCAGGTAAGGGTGTCATCTGCTCCTATGATTGTCTATTGCAGGGCGACGCAACCATGCATTAGCTCGCGCGCTGCTCGCGCGCTGCTCTCGGCGCGTTAACTGTGATTTTCCACATGTAAGAGCGACGGAGGCTGAGGGCTGCTCTTTTATCTGTGACCCTCGCAGGGCCCAGGGAAGGGAAGGTTCTCACAATCACACCCCTTAATTACACCATCTCCAGCTAACCATCAGGCCTCCTCCTCAACATTCCTCCAAAACGAGGGGGTCCCTCCCCGCTTTACTTTGAACCCTAAAGTATGGCCTCTGCCCACTCACTCTGGTCTCACGCTTTCCCGACCAGTCTAAACAAACCATGGACACACACACATATGTACAAACACACACATACCAATAAGATATGGCTACAGATAGACCCACTCCACAATAAAGCTGTACGCCACATTCTGAAAAACATAGGTACAGCAACCATAAATCAGTGTCTTTGGCAATTTCCTGTGTTCTCACATCAGTGTTCAATCATCTGATATCACAACCTAATCTGCTCATTTTCGAGCTCCATTGCTGCGTTTTGTTTTGATTTCTAAAGCTACCCAGTTCTGTAGAGATTTTATTATGGAACGCCTGAGTATATCGACGCACTTCTACAGCCCCCTTTTTTAAGCTATCTGCCTCTCGTTTATTTCTGTCTGGGACTGAATCAGTAATTCTTGGGTTTGATACAAAACAAGCCCAATAGAGGGAACAAGCTAATAAATCACAAAGCTAATTGGAAAGCACAAAGCTGTCTTTTACTCTTCACACTTCCCAGGCCTGTCATCACCTGAGAGACTTTTAGCTCCCATACAAAAAATAAAAGAGTAAGTGGGAGAACTAGAACATCTGGCAGTACTCTCAAGCACTAGAGTTGTTGTGCAATCCTCTGTTATTGACAGTAAATATGAGCAACACAGATGTGCGGAATATTGTATGCTTGCAGCAGCAGTAGCACTTGACAGGGCTTTTGATTAAAACATCACTCTTGGTTTCAGTTTCAGATGTAGTCAGGCAATGGCGTAAATGCCAGGAAATCGTGTTTCTCTAAATAGAAGATAAGTAATAATGTCACTCTGGGAGATGGATGAGGTGGATGACACATCAGTGTGGCTCCATGGGAGTTAGAATGCAGCAAGGCAAAGCTGGAGGGTCAGAGGTCATCTAAGAGTGAGGTGGGTAGGAAGGGATCATTATGACAGACATTCATCCCTCAGGCCACCTATCAGCCAAAAGGCTATCTGGAACAGCGTAGGCTATCTGGGACACTGGAGGAGCTCCTACACTGACCACTGGCCAAGTCAGCAGTCAGGCAGCTTGTCCAGCAGCTCCAGAAACAGATACAGGGGAGCGGGTTCATTCTCCCTGCTGGATTAACCTCTGGACCACCTTTAAAGTCTTCATCTAGGTGCCTCAGGGAGACTAATGAGAAATAATGAGGTCATCAGATCCCATTGAAGGCCCGGTGTTCCAGGGACTTAAACGTATTATCATCATTATCTCCCAGCCTGAGTAATATTATGAACACAGGGGGAATAGCCTCATGCTTCAGCTTTGAGAGGAACTGCAAAAGCTGTCAGTGAAGTGGTAGAGGGGGCTCGATTTAAAGAGACGTCATGAGTGCTGCACCAGTTCCACGCTTTCCCATATCACTGTTACACATTTTTGGTCTGATTTTGCACTTCAGCTTTATGTGGTTTGCATGCAAAGTGCATTTGAAGTTGAGAGATGAGTCGCCAAGTGTCACTTGTGATCTAATAGCGCATGCTTGGCAGAAGACAGTCCTTCTGCTGTGGTCTGGACGGGGAACCCGCTGATTTTATCACGGACACTCAAGGCGTCATGTCAGCTTCAGTCAACTTGTGTTGCTTCACAGGCCGACAGTGCCATGTGTAATCACTCCGTTTACTGACATGAATATTCACTGGGTACAGCAAGAGTGCTAAATCATTTTGTGAAGACTGAGGAATCTCTTATATTCCGCACGGGTATTTTTCACGTTATTGGAACTGGAGGTGGTTTGTCAGACCACTCATCAGTCTACTGAGGGAGCCTCGGCCTCCTCCACAAAGCTAACCAGACGCAATGCTGCACAGCAGGAGTGTCCATGTTGTAAAAAGGCCTGGCAAAGTGAGGGGGAAAACAAGCCCTATTTTTCCATCCTTTGCCTCCAAGCTAAGTCGAACAGCTCTGACCTACTCTCTAGGCCCCAGGTTTGGCTGACATGGAAGCTTTGGCTTGCTCGCTGCCACCCAGCCATGTCATGTGGGGCTGCAGATGGCAGGAGTTCATGGCAGAGGCCAGAGCTGCCATGTTCTTCCCCACTTTCTCCGTGCTGTTTTTTCCACATGGGTGCTCCTCCACACGCTGGCGTCGAGCTAGGTGAAGCAGAGGTGGTGTTCCTGTCAATCAGCATCTCCCACAGAGAGATGAGGGATGGCAGATGTGTCAGCAGTCCTCCTAGCTTCTTCACTCCAGGAAACACAGTCTGTGATATACCAGGTTCTGCTTGTGTATCTGCTCAGCCAGCTCCAGCATGCACACACAGACAGCTCAAGCTTCAGACAGTGGTCAAGCACAGACAGCCCTTCCACTCACACTATTGTATGCACAATTACACACTGTTTTGAGAAAAGACCCAATTCAACTTTGTGTCTGGCTGTAATGTCCTGGGAGCAGGGCTCGGTTTGGTGGGTTCATTGTATTGTCTGGCAAACCTGAAAGTGCGGTTAGTAAAGCTGTGATGATTAAATGTCCCTCGGTAAAGCTCAAAGGCCAAAAGCAACTGGTCTTTTTGTTGGTTAGACTGTGCAATGGAAATACCCACAAGCTCAGATATAGTGGGAGAAAAGGGGAACTTGAATGAGAGAGCTGAAGAGAGAGCAGCCATGGCTGCCAACTAAAGGTTGCATAAACCCATGTTAGTTCCTTTACATACCCTTGGTACCCATTTGATTGAGGCCCATGATGCATGGCTCTTATCCACCTCCAACCAAACAAATTCCCATGATTCACTTTAAAACTAAAATTATCTTGGAACGGATATGTCCAATCCGCTTCTACTTCTAGCCCTAATTTGATGAGACAAAGACACAACACTGGGATTTGGTAACAAGTTTCTTGAGTCCAAGAAATAAAGTAATCACAATTACAATTCCAGTTTCAAAAAATTACTTCCGACATAGGAGTCTCTAGTGGCACATTAGGCTGGCACTGAATGAGCTGCGATATTTAAACCACACTTCCAGGATATTGGCAATCTCAAGCCTTGATTAGACTAGTTGTTGGTTGGCAGCGCGCACAGCTGGGGTTTTAAAGCTGCTGCAGTGGGGTAAGAACTGGGCTGGTGGCTGGGTTGATGGTGTATGCATGTGAAGCAGTGGGGGGTCCATGATACACCCTGAGGGAGGAAGTCTTGAACGCAGCCTCGCTCTCATTCTGACCCTCTCAACACTTCGTCTCTTATAGAAGACAGCACTGATAGTTGCCTTTCAGCTCATAATTTTTTTTCAGCCAGGGAGCTCGCTTGTGATACAAAAATGACAAGCTCCGGCTGAGGATTGTATGTTAAACTGAAATATTATGAAATGTGACTGATGTGAGTGAGGGGAGAGCATGACTGCACCGCATTCATGCAGATTTGGCTGTCTATAAAGCAGCACAGTGTGTGACCATTGCTACAAATCTTCCCTGTGCAGCAGTGGGCTGACACCCACAGAAACTGGTGTGGGGCCTCCTCTGGGCGACTGATAAGAACCCCTGTGGATAACACTGGAGTTATTTCATATGGTTTATGGCTTGTATCAACCCGTCCATTAGCTGCTGAAAGGAGTTCCAGCAAAGCAGAGGCCCAGTAACATAATATACGGTCATGCAGAGAGATATTATGCAACAAAAGGACATTGCTAACGAACCAGCTACATCTTTGTAATGGTAGTTAATGCTGTGGCCCCCATGTCTCGAGCCTCTTTGGAATCTAGCTGAAGTGTAGCTGCAAATGGGTTTCCAGTTATGTTATGTTGTGGGGAGTATAGTTCCCATTGTTTCTGGCTCTAATTATAGGGTTATTTTCTCAGCAGTGAAAGGGAAACCCCCAGAACAGTGAGTCTTAAATTTAAAATTCATCATGTGAATGTGCGCAGTATCTCAAGACGTCCAGAGAAATTAGTACGTGGGTGTGGTGAAGCAGATAAATTAAGATGTCGACTTTGGGTACACTTCAGTCTTTTTTTTTTGTATTAAGTGGAAATTAGAGTCTCTACAAGCAGCAATGAATGAATAAAACTACATTTTGAGACGCTACTGTTAGCTTGGATTTGAGCAGAACCTGTGGCAACACTGAGTGCCACTGAATTTGAGCATGGCTTTATTGTATTTCCAAGCACAATCAAAGACATCCAGGTAAGGTGATCTAGTAAGGATATAATACACTGCTACTAGTGGAGCATGTATAACTACATCTGTATCCCAGTTCAAGGGTTAGATCCTACCATGGAATGAGATCAATAAATGTGGGCAATGGCCCAAAAATGAGAGAAACCTCCCTTGCAATAAATAAAACTAAAAAACTTGCATTTGAAAAATCCTCAATGCAACTTGACCCCTAAAGTGTACCTAACTCCAGAATTTCCAGTCTGAGCTGTTAAATTTTCTCTCCATTAAAAACCATATATAAATATAGGCACATTTAACATTATTGGACGAGCCTTAGATTCCTTATCAGTCTAAGTATAGTCATCTGTGTGGCTTTCCTTGCCTCACATTGCATCACATTGTCAGTTTACAGAGTAAAAAGTGTATTCATTCCTTCTCTCCACCCATAGTTCTCTGTGTCACATGCCTGTGGATCCTCCAGAGCCGCTTCAGAAAAACTGAAAGTGAGGTTTCAGCCAGCGAGTGGCTGAGTGTATAAGCCTTTTGCTTGTCTAGCTCTTGTTTTCCTTTACCCAGGCAGTCCACAAAAAAATCTTTGAATGAGATAAGATCACACAGACAAACTCTGGTGTAATAATAAGCAGCTGCTCCCTAAGTGATTTCAGAGACTGCGCTTAAAAAGCTCATGATAACAGAGATGTAATGCCACGTTCCAGACCCCTTTGGAAACCAAGCACACGGCAGCTCTGACCACAGCAGTGGAGAACCCCTCACCATCATTTGTCCACTATGTCTTTGAGCCCTTGTGTACCAGTTGTGTGTATCAGATCACAAATATTAACTTCCAAAGCAATAAAATTTCCATTTACGGAGGTTGGACATGAACTGTTTAGTGAAAATGACACGCGGAGTGCAGCTGAGAATGAGGGTCAAATAGGAAACTGGATTAGAGAGCCATGACTGAAGCAGGGATCACATCAAAGTAGGTCTCGCTCTAAGATCTGATGCTACGTGACAATACAAGATGTTGTTCTATGAGCAGTTTGTGTGGAGAGGGATTCAGATTAACTTGCCACACATCAGGATCAGTTAAAGTCAAAATTCACCCAGCGTGGGGATACAGCGGTTAGGATAGCAGGATTAAAGTAAAAACAAAAAAAAGGCTCTTTTTTTTTTAAACCAAAGAACAAGATGTCTTTCTCCTCCAATTTTCTCTGAGTTATGAAAATAGGGTGAAATGACTGTGGGGCCTTTAGGACTTTGCCTCTATTGTGGGGAGAGTTGATGAACTTGCATGTGTGGGTGAAAATGAGCATGCATGGAGCGAGTGTTTTGTTTGGGAGCATCCAATCGATGGCAGCAGCATGCTTAAAGATACTAGATGTTTAAAATTGTTTTGAAAAAAATGTTTCCACAAAACGTCAGTGATTTCGTAAGAATGCCACAGAGATACTCATGGGAAATATTTTAGATTGACCTTGTGTCCAAAATAAGAGAGTCATTTTGGTATTGACTGCTGCTGGAAAATCTTCCAAATGCAAAGAAAAAAGAAAAAAAAAGAAAAGATTCAGAGTATGTCCTAATGTACAAAAACCAAAACTGGTGGTTCTGGAGTATAGGCCTACCGGTGGCAAGTGAGTCGGCTTATGACACATCATGTGTAAATGAAGCAGCTCAGGGTGTCGAAAGACGCTAACTCACACTTCTTTTTGGAAATAGAGAAAAAGTCTAAAAAAAAAAAAATCTATTGTTGCGGTTAGAAAATTTAGGAAATTTTGCACAAAAAGTTCTTGCGCTGTTCAGCCACTGACAAATTGTTAAGCAATACTTCTTTGATCAGTGACTGTAAAAGGCCACCCTAACATGCAGCTTTATTCAAATGAGCAATGCCACAGAAGATGAAAACAGGCTGTTGGCAAGCTGGATGCTGCCATGATAGTTAGAGACAAGGCGAGGCACTTCAGTGTCTATAACTCCACCATTTGTCATCTAGGACAGTGGTCCCCTACCTTTTTTGCATCATGGACCGGTTTCAAGCAAGACAATTTTCTACAGACCGGTCATTGCGCACATAACAAATAATAATCCTTTTTTTTTCCATTAAAAAAGTGATATAAACAAATAAAATTCCTTTTTATTGCTAACTATACTTGCTTACTTTTTCTTCTGTCTTAGCATCGAGTACCTCTTTTCAAAGAAGCTCTCCAGAGACGTTTGTTTTTTGTTTATTGCCGCAGCAGTTACATTAACGGCTAATGTTAACAAGCACAGGAGGAAGTGATGGAAGATGAGCTGGCCAATTTTCAAAATAAAACACCCTACAGACTCCATCGGAAATAAAATAAACCAATAAAACGTTTTGATTTTTTCTGTGTGGCCTGGTACCAAATGACCCACAGTCCGGTACCGGTCTGCGGCCCAGTGGTTGGGGACTGCTGGTCTAGGAGAGAATTTGAGATAGCCCTGGAAGAACATATCTGACAACTCAATCTTGTCCCTAAAAATGTCTGCCAACTTCACCCAGCCTCTAGGGAAGAGCGGGACATCATTCCACAAGCCAGAATCGACACCCACTCTGGATCTTCCCATTATCTTCCATTGCAGTGTTTTCTTGGTTGTGTCATGACATCTTTTCTGTTGAAGAGATGCCACGGATAGAAAAAGAACATTACGTGATGTGTTAAGATTTTTGTTGAGTATATGAACATGTTCTGATGTCTGCTGTATTAAGGTTCACTTTATTCTACATACACCATTGAGGGTACAGACGTGGTGCAGCTTTAACATGCTTTTCATTCCCATAATCAAATGGAGCCAGCGGATGTATTTGCATGTAGGTCTGCAGCGATTGGGCAAGCAGAATGTAGGAATGTTCTCTTTCTGCAGTTGCTACATGTTCATATTATAGGGCCTAGAGGTCCGGACACCCTCCTCTGGGGCTTCATTTTAGTGCGTCTGTCAGGAGTTTGGCTCAGGGAACCAAATGGGTTCAAGTTCCTCTCTGTTTTCATATGAAACACTCAGCCAACACCTCGGGCTCCATGTAAACCTATAAAGGCTCACGCTCTCTCACTTTTTTTTTCTCTCTCTCTCTCTCTCAGAGCATATTCCACGTTAAAATAAGGCTGTGAGATCAGAGTGCTCCATGAAGAACAGAAGGGTACATTTCTTTAATTGGATTTCAGTGTTATTCTTTAGCGAGAATCATGAGAACACTTCAATTACTCACTGTTATTGTTTTTTTTAATATCAAAACATAATTCAGAGCATGTGAGTCCAAAGGTGTGGTCTGTCTCCAGTCGTAATTGGAAAACATGCTGGTAATCTACATGCAGTTGTTGGTGGAGGTTATAGATACTTAAAATACCAAAAACTTACAATGTCCAGTGAAAGTCTCCCTGCACACAGTTGACAAAGCAAGTTATTTTTACTCCCCAATTCTATTATATATAATCATCTTTGTAGGAGACATTTACCTCCAAAGGGGAGTTTTCTTTTTTAAGTGAAGGTGGAGCAGGTTTGGCTGAATTGTCACTGCATCTTGGTCGCATTTCCACCTGAATTTCATGCCTTCAGACTTCCTTATGACTACAGGGTGTTTGGTAATGCAGGTGTAAAGGGAGTGTTAAAGATAAATCAGAAACAGCACTCATCCTCGCCAGAGTTCACCGTTAAATCCCGAGGGAGGCGCCGCTAAGACCAGGCTTCACTACTTACATCCACCTGTGTGAACAGATGAGCCGTTCAAATTGCGAGGCATGTGTGTCTCCTCTGGGTAATTGACAATAAATCATGTGCTGTGGGAAAATGGGAAGTCGAGGGGCTCGTGAATGCATGGCTGGGGAAAATGGGGTGGTTGGGGGAGTTTGAGGGGGTAAAGGTGCAGTGTGAGGAAGGCCGGGTAGAGAGGATCTTACTGGAGCACATGTTGAGTTCGGGGCTGCGCATGCCGTAGTATCCGGCTGGACAGTCGTGAAGACACTCCCCGTACTGCCTCATCCTCTCCCTCCGCAGAAACAGGAAGAGTTTGGGCTGGCAGTTTACACAGCCGTTATCCCTGGAGCACACCGAGCAGCCTTTACAGATGGGGTACGCTCCATAGCTAGCTGCAGGACAAACACAGAGGACAAAAATTCAGAGGATGGAATTAGACGAACAATGCATGAAAACGTCAATCAAAAAGCATGTTCGATGGTCAAGCAGAATGGAAAACCTGTGCCCTGCATGCATGCAACAACTTTCTGAAACCATCTATGTGAGAAGGCAGCCAGAGTTTGAATCTTAAAATCCTGTTTCTGTCTGTGTGCAAGCCATGAGATGACCACTGTCTGAGATGTTCACGGAAGGATGAGAGTTTCAATGCACCTTATTAATCATTGGAGTAGATAATTATTGTCAGTTCCTTCCCTTTGAAGGGAACACACAGGGAGTGTAGTACTTTTTAAATGTGAGGTTTGCGCTGCTGTTAGTTTTTGTTACAGCCGCATTGGAACATGCATCCACGGTGGTGGTTCGGAAGGCTATTAGTTCTGTACTAGCAAAAGAGAAGCAGACATCTTTTAGATCTTCGTATCATTATTCATCTGCTAATGACCCCGGCTTTACCTGATGACAAGGACGGGGTGAACTTCAGGCAACAGACTCCACTGTGGGAGGGCTGACCGATAGAATACAACCAAAGTACAAGAATAAAACCAAAACAACCATAATAGATATATCAGCAGGATATTCTTTAATTCAGAGTAAATGTGTCCAATTCAACAATTTGTCATTCATGCAAACTCTGTTTCCCCTCTCAACATTCGAATGCTGATTGGATATGAATGTGAATATTGCATTAATTCTGGTCAAAGCTGGCCTCCTAAATGATTGTGTTGAGACAGCCGATGAAAGCCCCTAAAACCGCTGTGGCTCTGGCCTCGGCTCGAGTTGCCTGCATAAGACAAAGGAGCCAGTAAAAAGACAGTCCATTCCACAATAAGTGACTTTCAATGTAAACTCCTTAGCATCCCGTTTACAGGAAAATGTCCTTGGGCGAATCCAAACGAGAGACACTTCAGTTGATCTTAGCCAAGTCTTAAATATCACAAGCAGGGACCGGGTAACAGCGGCGCTCGTACAGAGCGACCTACCACAATGCTTAATAAAACACTGTGCAGCAAGCTGGACAAAGCCTGAGAGACAGAGCAGAGCATGCCTGCGTTACTGGCCATAGATCCGCATATTAGATTTCTCTGAACAGATTCACCCAGACGAAAGTGAGCGCTAAGTGGGCCCAGTGCAAGCATCAGTTTGTAATCATGTGAAAATCAGTCAGCGGATGTCGGTGGCTGCCTTGGATTCATCTTTTTTCATTTCTTTTGTTGGAGCGCTGGGAGACAGTTTTCAGAGAGGTTTGCTGGCTTTGCCAAACTGCACTCATTCTCCTGAAACCGGGGTGGATGGAAGTAAGATTAAGTGCTAATCAGAATGTGTCTCTGCTGGTCTTTAGGGATGAGGTTTAGCGCGACACCCCATCGATCACAGCAACACAGGGATGTGCGCTCCAAGTCTATTCATCACGCAGACCGGTGATGGTTCATGTCCAGTCGGCACTCGCTCGGTAAGACATGAAGGAGAAATGAAAACCCCAAACTGTAACTTGTTTTTGGCTCCTCCAATTCTCAGATGGAAAATTGTGTCTTATGTTCAACTGTCAATCCAGTGTCTAAGATATTATTTCTTATTTCATTTGTGCCAGTACATGTTTCCTCTCAATTCAGTCCAGCTTCCTCAGAGTAATTAGAGTAATGGTCTGCTTGGTGGACACAGGTGCTGCTAAACCAGCATCCAGTGCAACAGTCTGTAGCTGACTTTCTGATATAGTTTATAAACCATGTGCCTTTCCGAAACTGCTAAAGTAATCTTGATCAGTTGACATAATTTTATCTATCTAAATGTATAACTTAAAATACGTACATTCAAACAGACCAGAAACACACTAAATGTCACTTTAAAAATAGAGTTGTTGCAGCTGTATTAAAAGTGCTCCTTTTTCCCGTCAGGTAACACCACAACCGCAATTTCGCACATATATCTCGTATTTCGTTCTGTCAATCCTTCCATTCTGTAAAACAAAACTGCAACATTAGACCAAACCTCAATACTTAAACCATATATTTCTGTAGAATACACAGTCTGGATGTGTTTACAGCAAACTGACATTCACATTAACTTGGTCACATCTACTCCCGCCGCCCTCGCCAAACTTGAACACAACACTGACAGAAGGGGAAAGCCAACTTGGCAAGGTATAGACCTGTGAGGCTGGAAAGCTTATTTCTCCAGCCCATTTTGAGCGGACTCAACTCCGTAACTATTAACAGTGTGCTAACAATATCATCCTGACAAGAATGAAAGAAAAATACTATCTGGGCCTGTGGTCATCTTGGATCACTAGTCAGTCAATCAACGGGGAAATTACAGTGACTAAAAAGACCCTTCATGAGCCTGGCTCGAAGATCCTGATTGGTCTTTGTTGTCAAACATTTGTTTTGCTGGTTGCTAATTTCGCAATGCATGTTGATTGAGGATAACATAACCGCATGCAGTCTGAACGCAGTATATCCCACATCCTGGTACGACCAGGGGGAAAAATAAGAGAAAGAGAAGCTGTACACGTTACTCTTTTGGTGCTGATCTTGGGAGATTAGCTTGTGTGTGTCTGTGGAAAGGTTTGGAGGTTCAGGCCACAGGTATGTCAGGAAAGAGGCCACAATTCACAGTGTCTGGAGCAGCGCTATCCAACTCACGTCCCACACTATTGGCATAATGTCTAGCGCACTTTACATCATTCTGTCGACTGCCAGCAGGTTTAAGCCATTCTTAAAGAAAATACTGATTTTTGTGAATTTGATTTTTTTAGAGTAGAAGACAAGAAAAACGAAAGGAAAATGAGTCGACGTGTCTATATATATCAATATGCGTTAACCTAATTTGGCAGGAACGTGAAGCTGTATGTTTCGAATATGGTCGTTGTTTTACATATTGAGTCTTTTTCCTGTTCTCAGACAGCAGGTCCACTCAAATCTAGTCTATCTCAATTCTGACTGTATATTTTGACACATGCTCAGCGGCCCTTTATGACTTCTTTTCCCACCCACAAATCATGTCATGCCTTGGCTCATCTGGTGTTTCTTCTGTCAATCACATTGAAACCAAAGTGACCCAGACATACAGAAAAAGCTGCACAGAAAGTGGTCATTGTGAAATTATGGATACCAGGTTTAACATATGTGTATTTTAAGACTGGAAAACGGAGCGCTAGCCATTAGAAGTGCCACTCCTTGCACACAATAAACTGATGTCGTTTACAGTTTCAACCACAGAGTCCGTATTACGTGAAACAAAACAAATCCACAGTTCCCACTTCTGACAGCTAAGTGAAGATCCCTCTGAGCCTCAAGTATTGTATTTACAAAAGCCAGAGTCCGTACGAACATCACTGAAGAAGCCTCCACAAGGACTTTTTGACACAAAGACTTAACAAGTGCCTCAGCGTGTCATGTCAGAGGGCTGGTACAAAGCTGCTGCTCTGGTACAGGAACCACATGAAGGCCCCTTCACATATCCTCTTCCTCAGCCATCAGCTATGTGTTGTGACAGCTAAACTTTAGTAAGTCATAATGGACTAAAATGCATTTCGTTCATTTGCGTTTACAAAAGGAAATTTACATTATTCGTGTGTTTTGAAGAGTAGTTTGAAATTTTGGAAAGAAGAATGTTATGTCTGTGTATGCAGTAGCCACTAAGCTTAGCTTATCAACAAGGAGGAAACAGCTAGCCTGCTTGACACAAAATGTGACAAACTTTTAAAATGTTGGAACAAAAATATGGAACCTGTTATATATGTACATATATTTTTTACATTTTGGACAGAGCAAGACTAGTGGTTGCCTTATCTTTTATGTTAACATTAAAAAAAAATAAATCAGCTGCTTTAGGATGCTATGTCTGTGTATAAATATGCAGCACCAGCCAGTTAGCTTAGCTTATCAACAGGGGGAAACAGATAGCCTGCCTCTGCACAAAACTGACCAACTTCTTAAATGTTGTACTTTAATGGTTTAAACAACATATATGACGCATATATAATCGGTCAAATAGTGAGTTTTAGAGGTTCTAATGGGCATGTTTTGTTAGCTTTGGGGAGGCCAGTCAGGCTAGCTGTCGCCATAGTTTTTTATGTTAACATAAGAAAACCAGCTGCTAGCTTTAGCAACATATTTACAACACAGGTGTTAGACTGGCATCGATCTTTTCATCTAACTCATCACAAGACTTTCTTTAAAACATAAAGGCCTTTTTTTTTTTTTGTCAATCACTGTCTTTGAAACTTCAGTGCACTTGACAAATTAAAAAATCTGAAATTAGACCATGAAATCAACATTACACAGTGAAAGGACCTCTGCCAGATAGTCATTGATAAGCATCTACGCCGTTCAGGTGAAGTTATCGTCTTTCACTCATGCACAACAGTCGGACTCTCAACATGAGGAATGACGGCATGTTTGGATCGCAGCAGCTTTCATTCTGAAGCCGTAGGCTTACAGGGAGGTTTGCTCTGAATGCAGCTCAAGAGCAATTAGGGCTGCAATGAGATCAAGCAGAAACCCAAACTCCGTCTCAGGTACGTTTTTATGAGTCCAAAGCAAGCGTGACAGACTGCGCTCGGGGCTGCCAAAACCCTCGGTATATACACAGGGTTCCACCCACGGCCGACCCACTTCCTGCCTTCCACTCACCTACCGTTACCCATGAAATCATTCACATTGACCCATTCCAACTGTCTGCAACCTGAAACCCTAACAAGGCAAATTGCACATAATTTTTGTGTTTCTTTTAGAGCCCTGAACTTAACATTGAGAACAAGAAGACATTCTTAAGTCGAGTTTCACTGATGTGGCTCTTTTGCAGGCCGAGTTCGATAAATGTAGTTTGGAGCCGACGCTGCTGAAAACGGATTCTTTGTAACCACTTTCAGGTCTTTATAACTGACATATTGTAAGGCTAAAAGAAAAATGGACAAAAAACATGAATGGACAATACAAAGTAGACAGTATTTGAT